GGTCCAACAAACCTTCACCCCTAGCACAAGTGCCATTAAAAGGTGACTTTGTCATTTTACCAAGCAAACAAGATTCACAACTATCATCCGACTTTAGGTCAAATGACTCCAAGACTCTATCCTTTTGGAGTTGGCCTATGCGTTTCTTGCTTACATGTCCAAAACGAAAATGCCATAAAGATGCTTTATCTAAGCTAGTGGAAGAGTCAATACACAATACATTATGTCCTAGGTTATCTACAACAAATACAATTTCATACACACCATCACAAGGTAATGCTTTAAAATAATACCACCATTATTATTATCAAAATAAAAGGTAAAACCTTGTTTATACAATGCATGAAAGGAAATAACATTTATTGCCATTTCTGGAGAATAATATCATTTATTCAAATCTATTGTAAACCCACTATTTAGCAATAAGGAATAAACTCCTATCTTGGTGACAGGTGAAGCTTTCCTGTTCCCCATGATCAAGTTTATCTTTCCATGCTCCACATTCTCACTTTTTTTTAGTCCATGCAAATCAGAACATATGTGAATTCCACAACCTGTATCAAGGACCCAAGACTTAGAATGAGGTGAGTTATTAGACAATATAGTGTATATACCTGCATGGTTGGGTTTTACTTTCCAATCCTTCACATCTTGCTGGTACTTTGGGCAGTTTTGCTTCCAGTGCGACTTTTCATGGAAATAGAAGCATTCATCCTCATTAGGGTTAGCAGAAGGAGTGACAAAACCTTTCTTGGTTTTTCTTGAAGAAGATCCTTCAAGGGTCTTACCCTTGGTACCCTAAGAAGGGTTCTTTCTCTTATTCTCTTTGCCATGCCCGGTTGCCAAGACATTGGCCGCAGTTGGAGTAGGAGGAGTAGGAACACCCGACTTGCCTTTAAGACTACTTTCTGCAGTCTTTAAAAGCCCTTGAAGTTTACTAAGTGTAACTTCTTCCTTTTTCATGTGGTATGTCATTCTAATTTGATCATAACATGAAGGTAAGGAGTGCAAAATGATATCTATTGCCATCTCCTTAGGAAAGTCAAAATTTAGTTTCTTCAAACGATCCACAAACCTTTGCATTTTTCGCATGTGGGTCGTGATGGTCTCACCATCCTTCATTCGGGTAGTTATCATGGAGGAGATAATTTCATACATTTCTTGACGAGCACTTTGATGGTAGCGGTCTATCAAATCCATGTACATATCAAAAGGGTAGTGGTCCTCATAGGACTTTTGGAGCTTAGCTGTCATAGTGGCTATCATGATGCATGCTACCTTAGTAGCATCCCTTTTATGTGCCTGAAATGCAACAATCTTTTCTAGAGTAGCAGTTGACTCATCAATCTCCCTTAGCTCCTTATCAAGGACATATTCTTTGTCCTCATTATGTGTGACTGTCCTGATATTTCTGATCCAATCCATAAAGTTGGATCCATCAAAGATGACTCTCTCACAAAGATTCATGAAAGAGAAGGAGCCAGTAGGGTTTGAGCCAGAAGCATTGTTATTGGAAGATATCTAAAAAGAAGAAAGAATAGATTAGATTAGATGTAAAGATAGTCCTTAATAATACACCCAAATGTAATATTAAGGCTAGGACCCAACACAATATTTTATAATTTAGAAGAGCGATGTCGTAATCTAAGTTATAAGATATTTGAAGGTAGGTGAATGACGATTCACCAATTTCCACCTTGAAAAATGAAATATTTAATTAGGTTTTAATTGGTTTAGAAACTCCTAGCTTCTTTGAGATTCATTGAACTTTTCAATGACATGTTTCAATCTCGAGTGTGCCCTTCAAGTTTTGCGACTAGGATGCCGAGGATCACAAAACAAGGTGTGAAGTAACCATGCAAATTACTTGGTACCCTTAATGTACTACCCCTCAATCGATGTGCCAATTAACCACACACGCTCAATCGATACTATGATATACATTAAGTCACCCTTTGCCTACCTTGATAAGTCCAGGTTAGTGTGCCGGTTAACCACACACGCTCTACTAACGACTTAATCAAAGTGCAAAGTGTAATAAGTTTACATTGGATTGTGTGATGATTATATAGATTTAAAAACGTTTTTAATAATTACTTTTTTTTCACGTCCTTAACCATTTTTAAATTCATGTTTTTATAAAAAATATCAAAAATCATACTTTGCTAATATGACATAATTTCTCATCTATTATCGATTATCATCATGTATTTCAAAGTTTGGATGAATTATTGTCCAAAAAGATAATGTTGAAGTGACACAATCTCATAGGTTTTTCTTGTTTTCGTGTTTTCGTAAATTATTTGTATTTTCGCATGAACCCTCCCCTATATATATATATATATATATATATATATATATATATATATATATATATATATATATATAGAGAGAGAGAGAGAGAGAGAGAGAGAGGACGGTTCACTTGAAATTAAAAAAAAGTGGAGATCTTAAGATTCAATTTCAATCATATATTTCTCATTTGTCACTCTAACGTTCCAGTGTACCGGCAACAACGGGGTATGACAGAGAGGTATAATCATATATGATTATACATGTTTATACATATATGTTTAATTATAAATGATTATACATATATATCTGATCACATATTGAGTAATCATATATAATTATCACAGTTTGTGGTAGAAGATGTGGTGGTGAAAGAGTTGACGATGGTATAAGTGACGGAGGTGACAGTGGTGAGGTCGGCTAATGTCAGAGGTGGTGGTAGTGGCGGTTATAGTGGTGGGGATGGTATCGTAGGAGAAATGAATGAGCAACGCTATATAATTATTTATGATTATAACAGACATGTCGTGCTGGTACGTCGGTGGGTTAGAACGACAGATGTGAAATATATAACCGATGTTGAATCTCAAGATCTCTATTTTATTTTTAATCTCAAAGGAATCTCTATATTATATATAAGCCACATAAATTTAAGTAAAAAACTCTTATATGTTAAATTAGGTTTAGATAAAGCAAGAAACAAATGAAATCAGCTCCTAATTCCTTAAATGTTGGCCCAAACCACCTTCAAAATCAAATCACTAAGAAATTAGTTGGCCTAGTATCGCTTAAAAAGAAATGACAGCGCTATTTCCTTAAAACGTTATTAAAATAGTTGAGAAAAAGCGGTTAATTGTGGTGCTAATAGTAGCACCACTATTTACAACCACTAAACTAAATTGTTATTTTCTTTAGGATTGTGAACCGCTGTAGCATCGTTAATAGCACGAACACAATTCATGGTTGATTTTGAAGTTCATAAACCCTAAGATTTGAAAAGTGTTTTTCAGGAGTTAAATTCTAGTGTTAGCATCCAATACACATGGTAATCAGCATTTAATTTGTCATATGAACATGTTTAAACTAATTTCGATAAATCAAAAGTTTACTTGATGATCGATTATCAACTTAAATCAACAATCTATAGTGAAATCATTGTTTGAACCCATTTATGCTAAAAACTAGTTGCATTATGATTGGAATAACATTTGGCAAAAACCTCATGAACTTTTATGATGAGCATGGAATGTAAACCACTTAATTCTACGATAATAGCTTGTAAATCATTGAATCGATTATATGAATAATGAATTAAAATATTAATTATGATGTAAAACATGTATTTGATGCTAATAACCAATTAGGATCATTAAAATGGAAAAGGAAAGGTTTGGAGGTGTTTAGACAACTTTTAAGCAAAATGGGTTCAATGTGTGTAGATATGGGCTCCACGTGATCAAGTGAAATCCAAAGAGGAACTTTACTGAGTAATTCTCTAAATGTGAGACAATTTCGGATTTACTCAAAATTAATTCAACTTGCTTCCATGACATCTCATTAGTTTAGTAATGTTATGCAATATATTAAATATGATAGCCTTTTTTTTGAATGACTGGAATTATCTTAGATTAAAGATAAGTTAAAAGTAATTATTCATTAGTTGAATTATCGTTAACCGTAGATGAATGAATACCAAGTGCCCAAACAACACTATAAGTGAAGTGGTGTTCTTATTATTGCTAAGGTGGGTATTTTACCCGATAGTACATGTCTATACTACTTTGTTGACTTTTTATATTGTTATTTCATAATAATTTATTTCGATGTCGTGTGAATACTATAAGTATTTTGTGCATTCATGAAATGTATTTTGGAAAGAGATTTATTACCAATGGGATTATTTTGACATTTTTTTTTGAAATGATTTGAACCATGAATTTATGAATCCATGTAGGATTGGTTCATGTTTGTGTGTTTCCCTTACAATTTTTAGGAATACAGTCCCATTCAAAAGCCGACAATTATGGTTTGTGATTGACATTCTAGATAATAATGATTAAGGGGATTGATTTTACACGCCCATTTTGTGGTTTCATGAGTGATGGTTACATTACTAAAATCTTGTTTTGAAGTCTCTAAGTGAGGTTAGTATGAGATGGTAACTCATTGTTTATGCTTCCCATTATTTGAAGCCTCTAAGTGGGTTTAGTGAGATGTTAATACATTGTTTATGTTTCCCATTACCATTCAAATCTTTAATGTGAAAGGGATCACTATGAAAACAGAGACCTGACTTATGGGAAATAGAAGCACGTACATTAACTTATATTTTTGTGAAACTTATTTTATTAATGATTTGGCAATGCTCTAACTTTCTCCAATTATGATTGATACGGATCTTTGATGATTTTAAACCTTTTTAAATCTTTTCTTAGAAGGTTGATGCATAGATGGCTAAAGATGAACTTTAATCTTCATGAGTTGAAAATAATCTTCATTTGGACAACTAACTACTAAAGTGTTGAATGATAAGTACTAAATATCATAACCAATCATCGAAACCAAATGATCAATCAAACTCCAAATGTAGATGTTGAAAACGATGTTTCAAGTCTGAACATTTGAAGAGGGTTGAAGTTGAATATAGATCAAAACATAATTTTTAAAAGATTGTTCAAAATCTTTTGATAACATGTTTGTTTTATTGGGGACCAATATTTTTCCTTGCATTTATTTCTACCTTAAAAGCTATTTAACACAAATATTAAATGCAGTATGGGATTCATCTTTGTATGGGGAAATTATTACACAGCCTAATACAAGTGATAGATTGCAAAGGACAATTCTTGATATCGATAGTGCGACAGATGCTTAAGAAATTAAACAAATAATATGTGAGAGAAAAAATATAAAGTTTTTTTTTTTTTTTACCAAATTCATAGCTAAAAATGCAGAAGCAAAGTCATCTAGTGATGTTATTATCATAAGTTTCAACTATAAGCAAATTGAGATAATATCAAAAGATCTTCCTTCATGAATACAAAGTTTCCAATAAAATGGGCTTATCTGAACATTAAAACTTACTGAGAATGCCAAGAAACTATGTGAGTCTGTTCAAAATGACCAAAGTGACAAAAGTTGAAGGTGCAGAATTGGCTTTTCTACTTGAAATTGAATCAAAACAGGGTGTATGAGTCAATTTTGCTACAGAAGTAGGGAAGATGCACATAAATTCCCAGATACCTGCATAAACATCAACAAATCTCTCAATCAATATATCAAATTACGAGTAAATGTTGCATTTCAACTATTCATCTATAAACATTCAGAGGGTATCCTTTGATTAACAGAAATCTGTGAGATTAAATGCATGCAAGGAGGGCAAAAGAGGGAATTCTTACCTTCAGATTCTACTCTGAAACTTTTCCTTTTCCTTCACTTCCAATAGCATCAGTGACCAAAGTTAATGGTCTTTCATCAATGACTTCATCAATGATACCAAACTCTTTTGCCTCTTGTGGTGTCATAAAGTAGTCTCGATCCATATTCTTCTCAATCACATCAACAGATTGTCCAGTATGTTTTGCATACAATGCATTGAGTGAATCCCAAACACGAACAATCTGTTTGGTGTGAATAGTCATATCTTTAGCCTGACCACTGTATCCACCAGAGGGTTGATGAATCATGATAGTGGCATTAGGAAGAGATCTTCTTTCCCCTTTTGCTCCAGCAGCCAATAGGAGAGAACCCATTGAAGCAGCTTGACCCAAACATATGGTATTAATTGGAGAACGAATATACTGCATTGTATCATATATTGCAAGACCTACAAAAAGAAGGCAGTATTGATTACAACATTCTGTAGTATTGGTACAATTTATTCAACAAATATATGATCATCAATTGCATAAATCTAAATAAATGTCATTCAAAATTGTATCTTTTATCAAATTTTAAGCAAAATATGTCAGGAGTAAACTAAGGGGAAATGATGTACATGTTTATCAGATATGAATGTTTCCAATTTATGCTAAAAGTGAACACATATAAAAACCCATTCAAGTAGGTTGCTCGTTCCATTTCAATAACATATGTGTACACTTGGATTTCAACATCAAAACTAGCACCTTCTGGATGTGAAGATGAAGTAGGCTTCTATGCAAATATAACACATATATTACTACTTATTCGGTTGTACCAAATTTAAATGTCGTGAGCAACCTTCACTGATAATTTTTAATCAACACATACTTCCAAAAAAAATATTATCAACAATTCATCCGGTGCATATCTCTCCTTGGAGTAGAGGGAACATGAATTTCAGATAGCCCATATCATCCACACCGAGAAATTGGAACCAAAAAGGTCTCAAACTCCTATATTACAAGTCATACGATGATACGCACATTCACTGAACTAAAATTATAATATATAAACAAGTAAAATCGGAAACCTGCAGTGACGGCTCCGCCAGGGGAATTAAGGTACATGTTGATGGGTTTGGAAGGGTTTTCGGATTCAAGGAAGAGGAGCTGAGCAACGACGACGTGTGCTGTATCATCGGCTATGGGCCCGTTTATACATATGATTCTCTCTTTGAGTAGACGAGAGAAGATGTCGTAGGCTCTCTCTCCTCGCGACGAGTGCTCGATGACCATGGGTATTAGACTGTAGGAATTCCGTTGATTTGCCATGATTGGAGTCTTCGCTACTCCGGTCCATAGCTTGCTCAAATTGCGAGTGATTAGGCTCGGCATTGCTGCGATAGAAGGAGAAGAATCGGAGGAAATTGGGGATTTATGGCAGGGGTTCTGATTTAGAATGCCGATCTCTTTCTTTGCCTAGTTCCCGACCCAATAAAATCTTTTCCTAAAAATATTAATTTCCTTGTTATACACCTACACTAACTACACTACGACCGAATCAATTTTAATGTTATAAAAATCATAACAAATTATTTTACGTTTTAAAGAAAACAAATTTTTTATTATTTTTGTTGTTTTCTTATTTTAAGATTATATATATATATATATATATATATATATATATATATATATATATATATATATATAATCATGTTTTTTTAATGTATTTTATTGTTTTTATTAAGTATAACGTGTAGTTAATAATTAAATAAGTTTTGCAAATACAAAGCAACTACTAGTTGGTGGTTTGTGCATTACGATGTGTTTATTAATATATTTTTGATATTATTTTAGTAATATTTTCTTATACAAGACTATCTATATAAGTTCTGTGAAACACATTGACAATTTCTATAAAATCAATATTAGACATGGATTATTTTTGTAATTTTAAGATACATATGGACCATTTTTGTTATAATGCTATTAGGTAGGGTAATTTTTTTCCTTTTAAATTTTGTGAACAGACAAACTATTTCTATAATGCTTCAGACTATTTCTACTGATCGCATGAACTTCATTGTTTGGGTAAAACCATAATGCTTCAGACTATATGTTGGTCAAAAAATCGGTTTTGGATCAGTTATTATCCAAAGAAAAATAATATCATTATACTATCTTTAACTCCTAAATTACATTTTTTTATAACTAACTAATATATTTTTATTTTTATTTTTATTAGAACAAATTTCTTATGATTATAGATGATAAAATAGATTTAGGTCTTTTTTGATAGACATCTTTCAAGGTCCACACAAATCTTTCTGGCTAAATGAGCAGAAAAGACTGTTTGATTTGCACAAAAAACACATCTCTCCGGGTAAGATATGTATTTCCCATAAAGTCTCAAAACAATATCTTTTTGGCTGAATGAGTTTGATTTAGTGTAACGCAAGTTTTCAGGTATTTGCATTGTTAGCCTTGCTTTATAGTATTAACTTTGCATTTTGGTCCCAAATGCCAGACGTTGGGAATGGAACGTCAGGCGTAAGTTTGTGGATGCCAGGCGTTCGCACACAGAGGACAAACCCTAATTTTTAGGGTTTGCACCCTATGTAAAGGTCATTATAGCCTCAAAACGTTTCTTATCTCTAGCCTCCATCCTTTATAGCCCTCATTTCGAAACCCTAAGTATGTGTGAGTGTTTTGAAGCCTTGAAGTAACATTTTGGTATCATTTTAGCGTTCTTGGTGGAGAAGGAAGATCTTTAGAGTGTTGGTGTTGCTCTCTAGCTTTTGGATCTGGACTTTTGGCATCTTGGAGCACCTTTTGGAGGTATAAAGTTCAGATCTTGATGAATTCTTTATTAGATCTTGCTTAAGTGTAGTTTAATGTTCTTTTGGTCCCAAGAACTTGATTTTTGAGTTTGGAATGCTCCAGAGGTTTGGGTTGTCATTTCAAGCATTTTGGAGGGGTTAGAATCATAAAAATGCAAGCTTGGACCTTGATACTCTTCCATGCAAGAGTTTTGGAACTTTAGGGTGTAATTTAAGTTAGATTTTGGTGTTAGGCTCTTTGTAGCCATGTAAATACATAAAGGTTGCAACTTTATGACTTTAGACGTTCTTTTAGCATTGGATTTGAAGTTTGAACATTAGGTCTTAAGCCGTTAAGATCTTGGTTAAGGATTTGGGATTTTGTGGTTAGCCAGGCGTTTGGGTTAGAACGTTGGGTGTTCGGATGTCAGGCATCATTGAGTGGACGCCAAACATTCTCTCAGAAGCCCATCAGATCGATTTTGGGCCTTGGGCCATTTAGGGTTCTAGGCTTGGATTAGTTGGGCCAAATGAGGAAAGGGTAAAATTGTTTTTCACCCTAGGAGTTGGACATATAAATGAGATTCCTAGTTATGTTTTATGGCCCAATTATTAATTGGGGTTTTATTTGATTGATTAGTGCGAGGACTTTCCAGATCAGCAGTCCGAGCAGTTATCTGATTTTCAGCAGTTGAGGTGAGTCTCCTCTCAGCGTTTAGTGGGTCGAAGGCACTAATGTCGGACCATGATTTATTATGATTAGGATGCTAGTTGTATGTGTGATTCCTGAATGTGTAGTATGTGATATGTATACCGAGCGCGACCCAATGCCAGGCAGGGCCTGATAAGTGTATTGTATGCTATTTGTCTTAGTGATTCTTGAATGCGTTTTATGTGTCTATATGTATACCGGGTGGGGCTCGATGTCAGGCGGGGCCTGATGAATGTCATGAGGCGGGGCCCATCTCATATCATTGATAAATCTGTGACTAGAGCTCGATGTCGGGTGGGTCCCGATGGTTGTTGGGCATGACCCATTATATGTTTGATATGTATGGCAAGAAGTATTTTGGGGAACTCACTAAGCTTCATGCTTACGTTTTTCATTTTATGTTTCAGGCACTCCTAGATCGAAGGAGAAGGGCTTAGGATGATCGCATTGCACACACCACGTTGTTATGTATTTTGTGATTTGATATACTTAGATGATTATTGACATACTCTGATTTTCTTTTATGGTCTTAAAATGAAATTTTTGGTCTTAATTTTGGGGATGTTACAAGTTGGTATCAGAGACTTGGTTTGAAGGATTTTGGCATACCAGTCACAAAAGTGGGAGTATAATTTGTGGAGCGTGTGTGGCTAACCGGCACATTAAAACGAGATAATAAATGACATTAAGAGTACCTAGCTAATTTGCATGGTTATTAACATCTTGTTTGTGATCCACGACATCCCAGTCATAAAGTGAGAGCATAATCGAGATTAAACATGCCATTGATTAGATTCAATGAATCTCAAAAGATCTAGGAATTTCATAAGATTGAAATTGGTAAAAGCCTTACCTACCTAAAATAGATTCGAATTTGATTTCGGCATCCCTCTTCAAAGTTCGAATCGGAAATATGGATCCTAACCTTAATTAAAATTGATGGGTTAATAATTAAGGCTTAAATATCAACTAACTTGAATTTTTTTCTCCTATTATAGATGTCAAGTCAAAACAACAATGGTCTTCCTAATTCTTCTGGAAATGGTTTTCCTCTACCACGTGAAGATGATATTCCACATTTTGATCAAGGTGAAAGTATGTTCCCTTCTTCAAGCAATGGTGGAAATAGACTTCATGCTTCTCCAAATCTTACTCCTCCTCCTCCAATAACTCTCCCCATGTCACAAGTTTAAAGATACGAAACTATTCAAGCCCTATTGGCATGCAAGCTTCGAGATGGAAATTCTGTATGTATGCATGTTCTAGAAATGAAACTGTACATTTACAAATTGGACAAAATGGGTGTCATTTTCCCATGGGAGCAAGCCATTGATTTGGTTCTACTTTCGCTTCGTAAGTCATACAGTCAGTTTATTGAGAAATTTTATACGAGCGACCACGACGTGACCCTAATTGATCTGACACATATGTTGATTATTGTTGAAGCAGAAATGCTTAATAGCACAAGTGAAGCAAAAGTGTTTGAAAAATCTAATTCCAAAGTTTCCATGGACATTGACGATGGTAACAATGGTGCTCCAGAAAATATTTCTCTTCACAATGGAAAGGGATCGGCCGAGGTCAAACCATTTGATCGTATGGTAAAGAAAAAGGCTAATTATGAGATAGTTCCATGCGCTAACCCCAAAATGTCCAAATGTTTCTATTGCCAATTGAAGGGAAATTGGTTGCTAATCTTCCCTGACCACCTAAAAGATCTCAGAGATAGTAAATTCAAGTCGTGTGACTCTACTTTAGGTACATCCATTATCTAACTCCATTATTTTTAATAAGTTCTATTCATAGATTCTTAATACATGATGTGATGATCATATTTTGATGGTATTGCAGGATCTAAGAGAAAGAATGAATTTTAAGAAGAGTAAGCTAATTCTGATCGTTGGAGATGCATTTCGATCGCATGGTTCGATGGTTAGAATTTGGAGTTGCTACTTGAGAGTTAAGATAATTTAGTAGATTACTTAGGAAATATCTAGAAACATAGTTTTCATTTTATGCATTGTAAGGACAAGTTCCAAATTTTCGTTTATTAACAATAAAAGTGAAATTGTGGTAAATGCCATAATTAACTAAGTAATAAAGAATTCTCATCACCCAAGTGTCAATTAGAAAGAAACTTGGAGTCATACAATTCGAATTGTATGATGTATGAGAATCTTGATCTTTGAAAGATTGTGACTAATTCATTGATCACATGTTTATGTGAGTCAAAGTGAAGGAATAGTGGATCTGGTCTATTGATATGACCTCTTTAGATCAACCACAAAGGACAATAACTATATTCGTCATTATTTACTAATGATTCAGTAAATGGGGTTGTGTTTATAAGATTAAGCATAATTCTGATACTTTGAAAAAAAGTTTCAAAGAGTAGCAAAATGAATAAGAAGAATCAATTAGGCTGAAAGATAAAAGTTTCTCCAATCTGAAAGGAAATGAGAGTACTTTAGTATCCTATTTTATAATGTCTTAATGATTGTGGATCTATATCACAATTGATCCTCGGAGAACATCTTAGTGCAATTGTTTGACTAAGAAGAGCAATTGGATATTGTTGAAATGGTTCAATCGAGAGATGAGTCATACTTTGTTTCTAATGTTTTAGATTCATGCTCTAGTTACTACACATCATATCTTGAAACTTAATTTATACTAAGTTGGTTTATAACACCTCATGAAATGTGGAGTGATTATGTTATCTTACTCTAGCATATTTGGAATTGGTAGTTGTGATGTTTTGGTTAAAACAAAGGATAAACTAAGACCAAATCATGAAGTGTTTCGTGTCGGGAATCCACAGTAACTTTTGAATATTCGTTTTAACTCGTCAAGGTATGTTCCTTGAGAGAGAAACTTATATGTCAAGAATTCAGTGGGAGTCTTATTGATCTTGAAAAGTTAAAGAGTCAATCGAGAATAAACCTTTTAGTTATCACTAACACACAACCTGAGGTTGATAACTTATCATGTTAAGTTAACACATTTTTGTTTCTGTGGAT